TTTTTTTTTTTTTTTTTGGGGGTACTAGGAGTTGAACTCTGGTCCTTGTGCTTGTGAGGCAAGTGGCAGCACCACTGAGCTAAATCCCCAGCCCAAAGTGTATTTTTCAGCAAGTGCAGTTTGGGTACTTGACTCCACCAGATTCATTGTCACTGGATTAGGGCAACTATTGTCAATGGAGTTATTGCCACAAATTATTTTAAAACCTTCTGCAATAATAATAATATAACAAGAATTAGTTATATTCACATATATTTCTATGTTATCTCTTGATCAGTATTGCTTGAGTTGATTATATAATTATTGTCAGAGTTGGCTGCTTTGACTTGAAGAGTCAAAATACCTTAACCAAACATGTCAATATTGAAGCAGGTTCCTGATCCTGGGAAAGCAAGAATGGTTGAAATATTCCAAGAAACATTCAGTAACACTTTAGTTCAAGAAGGACCATGAGTTAGTGCAGAATTCTCTGCCAGTTGCATGGTGGCAGTAAGGTCATTAAGAGTTTTTAAAAACACTGAAGAATAGAGCTGGCAGGAGGCTTCTTAGCAGAAGCAGGCTTTCAGGAGAGCAGTATGTATGTATGTATGTATGTATGTATGTATGTATTTACTTATTGATACCATGATTGAACTCAGGCCCTTGTGCTTGCCACGCAGGCGGTGGAAACACTGAGCCAAACAGCAGTGTTTAGATGAATAAACCAAGTCAAGAATGGGCTGTAAGGCCGGGGACTTAGTTCAGTGGTTCTGCCACCTGCCACCTGGCACGCAAGCACAGGTACCTAGTTAGATCCCCGGTACCAAAAAAAGGGAAAAAGGGATGCAAACTGGTACTGACTAAAAGGACACCTTCAAAGAAAGGCCTGAGGCCTTCTCAGGGTCTGAAGGTTCGTGCAGCCCCAATTCTGCACTTGACATTTCCATCCTTGATGTGCCTGGTCCCTCCCTCCCCTCAACACTTTCCATCTTTACAGTGGTTTTTGTTTTTGTTTTTGTTTTGGTACCAGTAATCAAACTTGGGACCTTGCACTTGCGAAGCAGGCCACTGAACCACTGAGCTAAGTCCCCGGCCTACAGTGTTCTTAATGGAATGTTCCTCCTGCTTTAATAGGGTCAGGAGGGATGCAAACCATTTCCTTTGCTTCCAGAGCTTTACTGAGACACGGTTGGAATATTTTTTAAATTACTATTTACAAATACTAGACTTTATTAATAAATGCTGAAAATATTCAGAGTGCCACGAAGACACACACGGTGTTTCGTCTAGTGTATCCTCCTATTTTTTTACCTGGACTCCCCAAGGATTACGGTTCTAGAGCAGGGATCCATCAGGCCACGCCCAGGTCGGCCTCCTGGTGGCGCCATGTTGGTGCCCCGCCCACGTGACTGGCGCCATTTTACATCCGCCACCGCCTCCCCCCGTGCCTAGAAAAGCAGGCCTTGCTCGGAGCTTCCTGTTTCCTGTCGGGAAGACCTGCCCCTTCCCCAGTGATTGGCAAATAACGCCTGTGGCCTCCCACCCACTCCGTGCGAAGCCTGAAGAATTTCCTCGTGGGAATGTGCGTAAATAACTTGTGGGGGAGGGGCGACACAGCGGTGTTGGCGGTGGGGCGGGGGTGGAAGTGAACCTTGGTCTCTTGCCACTGGTGAAAATCTTTGGAGTAGGGTGGCAGATACCACACATAAATATATTGTGGGACATGTACTAAAAAAATGATTCATCTGAAATTTAGATTTACCTAGGTGGTCTAATTTTATTTGCCAAACCTGGCAACTCTTCTTATAAGAGTTCTTGGAAATGCTGTTTCTGAAGACCCTAGAAGTAGAAAAAAGATCCAGTAGACCAGATCCCTGCGCTGTAGCCCTGTGTTCCAAGTCTATCATAGGTCATTGTGTGTTTTTGTTTGTTTTTGTGACCTGTGGGCATTCTATGTAAGGTTTGCTGGTCTGGAACTTGCAGTCCTCCTGCCTCAGCCTCCCAAGTGCTAGGATTACCGTGAAAGCCACCAGCCTGGCTACCATTTGTGTTTATATGACCTGAGAGTTAAGAATAAGGGTTATATATGTTTTCAGTGGTTGAACAAAAATTAAAAGTTGAATATTTTGTGACCCGGGAAAATGATAGGAAATTCAAGTTTCAGTGTCCATAAATGGTTTTATTAGAACACAGCCTCCCTTATTCTTTTACCCACTATTTGCAGCTACTTTAGAGATACAAGGGCTGTGTTCAGTAGTTCCAACAGATCGTAGGGCCCACAGATACTAAAATATCTATTGTTGAGTCCATTATCTGAATAGTGTATGATCCCTGCTATAGATTCCCTTTTTTTTTTTTTTAGATTCTCAGTCCAATTTTTAAAAATAATGATATGTCAAAATGAGATAACACTACTGGGAGTATGGCCAAAATCTTTTGTAAACAGTAGGCTTAGTCCACAATGCTGCTGTCTTTGATTCTGACTGTTCTTCTCCCACGGGCCCCTGATGGCTTACGCTCTTCATTACCAGGGGAGATGGCCAGGCAAATCAAAAGCTCACAGGAAAATGTAACCCGGACAGAGCCATTCTAAGGAGGAAGCTGCTAATTTTGCCTAGCAAAGAGAGGAAAAATATGTCAAGTCCAGCCTTACCAGGCCAATCTGGAAGTTAACTCCTATTTCATCCCAGCAGAAGGAGATTTCTGGAGATATATTCCAGAAATGAGGAAAAGCTATATTTGGCTGAATCTATGAGCCAGAGAATGACTGGTAGGGCATAACAAAAGATAATAGCAATGATTAACCAAGTTCCCTTAGACCGTGCTATGTTCCAGACGTTTGAAGTGTTTTCCATATTCATTTAAATATTGTAACAGTCCTTGGCATAGGTCCCTCTCATCATCCCCACAGCAGGAATCAGACCCAGGCTTACATTCTTAACTGTGCTCTAGAAAGAGACCATTGTCCCTCTTTTGTTCCTCAATTAGTGGCACCAGCATCCAAGTTGGTAGTAGAAATGAAGAAGTTGTCTACTTCTCAGGTCCTGGGGCTGTCTCAGACTGTAGTGTAACGAATGATAGCCATTTAATTAGGGAGATCTACACTGAGCCCTCGAAGCTACAACAGATGAAACAAGGGGGCAAGTGTGGTACAGACTCTAAATCCTGTGGAAAACAGAACGGGGAAGATTCCTATTCACAGAAGAGTAAAGACTGATGTCGGAGGACTGTGTCCTGCCTGGCCTTGGAGCTGGTCTTTTGGACAGAGAAACAAGCTGTGAAATCTACAAAAGTCTTTAAATCTTTTCTGTTTTGTCTTGTATCCAGCTGTGTCCCCACATCCTAGGCCAAGACCTTTTATGACCATTGAGCTTAGTATTCTGTTAAATGCATGAGTGGATTTTAAAATATGCATATTTGAATAGGTAATACAATCACATTCAAAAGTGTAACAGGTTCAAAATTCTGAAGAGGGAAATTCTTCCTATCAATGTCTCCAGTCACTGAGTTCCTCATTACAGAAGCAGCTGGGATTTTCATTTTGTAGGTTTTTGCAAGGTTCTTGTGTGCATACATAATCTGACATGCATTCCTGTCCTTGCTCTGCCCCTTATGACCTACATTTTCTCTGAGAAGATACTGGGTTCCTTTTTTGTGTTTCACATGTGAATTGAGAGTGGTGATGCTCCTAGACTCTGAAGATGGAAGTGAATGAGCTAATGAATAGAAATAGACTAGTTGGGTTACATGGTAGATAGGAGGAAATTCGTTCTTGCCTCATGTCATGGTACCGCTGTGTTGTAATCCTTAGAATTCTCTTTCTTCCTTTGATCTCTTTATTTCACTCACCTTGATGAGAACAACTTAGTGATCTGGAGAGTTAAAGCATGGGTGAATCTCAAGAACATTGTTCTAAGTGGAGAAAGCCAGTCACAAAGGACCACATATTGGAGTCACTGCTAAAGGATTTACAGTGTTCTTTTCGAGTGATGACATTATTTAAAAATTGGTGTGATTGCATAAAACTCAATATACTGCAACCTGTTGAATTGTGTACTTTGGGTAAGTTTTACGATGTAAATTAAGTAAACCTCAGGGTTATAGAAATGCTCTGGTGGGAAGGAGAGATAGAGGAGAAAAAGGGACAGAAGGACTCAGAAGCAGCAGAAATTAGACCACATACAAGTGTAGGTCTGCTATGGCATGGGGCACCACAGGGCCTAACTGTTAGTCCTTGCTTAGTCTCAGGTGGCTGTGTGACCTTGCAAAAAAGCCCTTTACCTGTCTGTGCCTTCCATGCCTCATTAAAAAGATGCAATTAATTAAAACTAAGGGGGTAGATCTTGATGACCCAAGGTCTCTTTCACAACTAAAAGCCTACAGTTTGTTTTGCCTCCTGCCTAGGCTGGAGGAGGAGAAGTGGGGGAAGGCAAAGATAGGCAGAGGGCAGAGAGATTTGCTGGGCCTTTCCCTGTCTCCTTGCCTTGGCCTGCACCCTGCCCTCTCCTTGAACTCTAGGGCTTTGTTCATCTTCCCCCAACCCAGGAAGTCTGTGTGTGCCTGCAGGGGAGGTGTGAGGACTGGGTCAGGCCAAGGTCATGAGGAGGCCTGGACAAGAACCACACTGTCAAATAGTCTGTGTTCCAGTAGAGATTATAGACCTTGAGAAGGAAGCAACTTGGGAAAATGAGTGAAGACCTAAGGCACATTCTGTAGGCAGAGAGATTTTTTTTTTAAATTTACTTATATTGATAATTTTTCCATCATTAGAGTGAATTAATCTCTAATATATGATAGTGAGCTGTACTCAATTGAGCGTGTGTGTGTGTGTGTGTACACACACACACACACACACACACACATATATATATATTTTTTAATTTTTGTTATGGTGAAATAGCTGTAAATTTTCCCATTTCACTGTTTTAAGTATAGAATTTGGTGGTATTAAATATATTCACATGGTTGTACAACCATCACTGTCATCCATGTTTTTAAATTTTTATGAAGTGCAGCAACCCAAAGTGTTTACCTCTGTGACTTTTTAGATTTGCTTGTACCCATGTAACTGCCCCACAGATCTGCTTTCCCCTTCTCATCAATTATATTTTAGAAGTTAGCTTTGGCTAAATTTAAGTATTTGTTTGGAGGAAGGGGAGAAAAACAGAATATAGTTCTTTGCAAGCAACTTAGGTGCTTTTGCAGATTGCATAGTCAGTATCTCACTGTTTCATTCTGAAAGGTTTAGGTCCTGGTGTACTTGGCCAGGAAGGCACTGTGCTAGGACGGTGAACTCATCGCTCCAGATCTGCTCTCCTCCAGCTGTCCCTTTGTCCCTCATTCCAGGACCAGTTCACAGCCTGAAAAATTCTCATTGGAATGTATTCAAAATTTTCACTGCAGATGCTACAATGGTGACAGCTCTTATACCAGACAGAAGGAAAAGATATTTTCTATGCCCTGGCAAGTAGTGTGTTGTGGTTGTGTTGCAGCTTCAGAATGTCTGCTGCTTTTGTAGCTGACGTTTTATCACCCTGTAGCAGAAGGTGCAAATTAGTGATTTTTTTCAGTATTTAAATCTGAGTTGATTGAAAATGAAGGGGAAACTTCAGGAATTAGGGTATAAGGAATTAGAGTATAATTCATCAGACTGAGAAAGAAGCTAATATTTTAATAATAGTAATAATAAACTAGAATCAGAAGACAAAGAACAAAGGAACCAGCTAGGAAGGCCCCAATTCTAAGGAGAAAAATTCAGGGAGGAAGCAGTCACTAGGAAGACACCTAACTCATAGTGCAACTTAGTGCTGATACCTCTGAAAATAGGTTCCTGGGAAAATTTAATTAAAAAATTTAAAAGTAAGAGAAGTAAACGCATGGAATTGTGCAGAATTGCCCAGGGAATATGAGAGTAAAGTTTGTTTTTTTTTTTTTTGACTTAACAAGAATGAGGCAAAACAATCTAAAAAAATTAAAGAGAAAGCAAAGAATATATTAGGATTTTAATTTCTTAGTAATGGGAAGTAATTGTAACTATACACACAAGTGCTGAATTTATTTGGCAAATCAAAACGATGATGACTTCAGGCAGAAGATTTTCAGAGTGAATATTATGGACCTTTTTTTTTTTTTTTTTTTTTTTTTTTTTTTTTTTTTGGTACTGGGGATCGAACTCAGGACCTTGCGCTTGCAAGGTAGGTGGCAGCACCACTGGGCTAAATCTCGGGCCCTGCTGTAGACTTTTTGACAGGAACAAAACACATATAATTTTATTTTCTAAAAACTTCTGATATTTAGGTTCTGTTGGGCTTTTTTTGTATGACTTAACATGATCTATTTGGAAACATGTTCTATGGCTATTTAAAAAGGCTTATCTCTGAAAGATTCAAAGTTTTAGTTAGACACAAAAATATGTTTTCAAGCTCATTTTGTTTTAAAATGTACTACATCTTTATACCTACTTGATTTGTTCATTTCTGAGATAAATATTAGTTTCTGCAGGAACACAGGTCTGTTAATTTTGTGTCTTGTATTAATTTTTTCATTATATAATCTGGGCTGCTACGGGGACATAAAGACATATGATTATTACAGTTTCTCAGTGGATTATGCCTTTAATAGAGAGTGAAATGTCTCTCCTTGTCATTTTAAATAATATTTTGCTTGAACTTTATTTTGTTAGGATCAGTATTTTTTTACACTTAATTTTTTCCTTATGTTTCACATGCAGTTCTTTTATTACTATTTTACAATGTAAACTGAACTTGTAAAAAATTCAGAACTTTTATTTTATTTTATTTTTTAAATTCAGAATTTTGAAATTTGCATTAATTGCTACAAAGCCTAGGCAAAAACTCACAGGCCAACAAGATGGACTCCAACATTAAATGTATCTTTACTGAGGTATAATATATAGGTCATAAAATTCGCCTATCTCAAAATACATCACCATGACCCAGTCTTAGAACACTTTCATCTCCCCAAAGAGATCACTGGTTCTTGCTTACAGTCACTCATTACCACCTCCAGCCCAAGGAAGCCACTAATCTATTTTCTGTCTCTGTAGATTGCCTTTCTTGGATACTTCATAAAAATGAATCCATGCAGTATTGGGTCTTTTACATCTGCATTCTTTTACTGAATAGTTGTGTGGCTCATCCATGCCTAGTAGCATTCCACTGTATAGAAAATAGTACTATGTTTGGATTGTGTGTACTTTTTGGGCAGGTAGGTAGTAATCCTTGGGATTGAACATAGGTCCTTGCACATACTAGGCAGTTCTCTACCACAGATCTGTATCCCCAGCCCTGTTTTTACTTTTTGAGTATTATTAAATACTACCATGAATATTTATCTGCAGATCTTTGATTTCATTGTTTTGTGTGTGTGTGTGTGTGTGTGTGTGTGTCTGTCTGTCTGTCTGTCTCTGTCTCCCCAGCCCGTACCAGGGATCAAACTCAGTATCTTGTGCTTGCCAGGCAGGCATGGAGCCACCGAGCTACATCCCTGGTCCCAATCTACAGGTTTTTGTGAAGGCATATGTTTTCATTTCTCTTGGATAGATACCTAGGAGTGGAATTGCTAGGTTATATAATAATTTTATGTTTCACTTTCAAGAAATGCCACATTTGTTTTCCACAGTGACTGCACTCTTTTACATTGCAGCCAGCAATATATAAGGGCTGATTTCTCTACATCCTCAACAACACCTATTATTACCTGTACTTATTTGTTCATGTATTTGTTGTTTGTTTATTGACAATGAAGATTGAGCTCAAGGCTTCACACATTCTAAGCACATTCTTGACCACTGAGCTACATCCCCAACCCCTTGTATGTATTCTTATTGTAGTGATCCTGATGAATGGGAAGTATATCTCTTTGTGGTCTAAATTTGTATACCCTTAGTATAGTGATTTTGAGTATCTTTTTATGTGCTTACTAGTCATTCCTATATCTTATTTGGCAAAATACCTATTAACATGATTTACTCATTTATTTGTTTCTTTATTTGCTGTACCAGGGATCAAAACGAGGGCCTTGGACATGCAAGGCAGGTGCTCTATCCCTGAGCTGTACCCCTATGCCCCATTTATTCACTTTTAAATGAGATTGTCTGTCTTCATATTATTATTGAGCATCAGGAGTTCTTTTTCTGAACAAAGTTCTTTATTAAGCCCATGATTTACAAATATTTTAGCCCAGTTTGTGTCTTCTCATTTTCATAATGACTTTTGGTAGTGTAAGTTTTGAATTTTTATCATGTCCAATTTACCCAAGTTTTTCTGTTGTGGATTACATTATGTTTTGTGTACTCTAGAACGCTGCCTAACCCAAGGAAAACTTGGTTTTGCCAAATGTACAGATAGGAAAGGGAGAAAGGTGCAGGCTTTAGAAGGCGATATTTCTATGTTTTTATATTTGAGGTAATACTTGAGTGCATAACAGGTGAAAAATAATTTAGATCTGGTAACCAGTTAATAATGACAATCACAATACCTAACATTTATTGATCTGGCACTTGTCTGAACTCTACATGAAAAAAATCTATCACACCAAACCTGTGAAGTAAGTACTATTTTTTATCACTGTATATAAGATAGGGAAATGGAGGCACTGAGATGATAAGTAAAATGTTGAAGTAAAGATCATAACTCAGTTAATCTGACTCTAGAGCCCATATTGAGTCACTGTGATACATTTATTCCACAAAGGGTAGTATTTAAACACCTGATTCCAAAATTCAATCAGGGTATGCCTCCTGATTCTTGGCTGTTCACTGGGAGCTCACTGTGGGATCAAAAAAAATTAAGTGATTTGAAGGAGCGTAGAAAAGGACTTGCCGGTACAAAAGATTTCCTTACTAGCTTTCTATAGTACCTGAAATTTCTACTTTTGAGAGTTATATGTTCTGGTATAAAGCATTACCTCTACAAAGTCCTTGGTGAAATTAATTTCAGTATGACATTTCATAAAGTGTGAATGTGCCTGGTTTTTGTAAATGATTGTAGACTCCAAGATGGCTAGCATCACATCTTCTTTTTGCATGTTATGAAATTTCAGCATCTGGGATTGTGGCTTATAGGATTATTTGTGGGAAAAGCAACCTGGTTAAGGTTATGTTTCTCATTTATATTTGATTCTACCAGATATCTGTAAGAGTGCTAACAGCCCACACACACATGACAACGACAACAACGAAATCAAAGATCTGTAGATAAATGTTCACAAGCCAATGTAGCCTACATACATCCTACATATCCTAGTATAGACTTTAAATCATCGCTAGATGGCTTGTAATACCTAAATAATTGTAAATCTTATGAGCCAGGCATGGTGGCTCAGGCCTTTAATCCCAGCACTCGGGAGGCTGAGGCAGGAGGATCACTGTGAGTTCGAGACCAGCCTGGACTACATAGTGAGTTCCAGGGCAATCTCAATTACATAGTGAGAACCTGTCTCAAAAAACCAAAACAAACAAACATTGTAAATTTTATGTTTATAGTTGTGGTGCTGTGTTGTTTAGAGAGTAATGACAAGGAAGTCTGTACTTTTTCATTACAGAAGTGCTTTTTTTTTTTTTTTTTTTTTCAGTGCTAGAGATCAACCCAGGGCCTTCTACATTCTAAGCAAGTGCTCTGCCACCAAGCTGTACCTATGGCCATCAGGTGCAGCCCCCCACAACTGTAGTTGACTGAAGTCATGGATATAGAACCTGAGGATATAGAGGGTTAACTGTATATGTAGATTGTGAGGCTGAGGTTAAATATAAGTAGAAGCTGATAGGGAATAAAAATCAGCATACACCAAAGAGTTTCTCTGAGGGAGTGACTATACGCAGAGACCTGTAAGCTGGACTCCAGTTAGTCAGGCCAACTGTTTAGAGGAAAAAAACACCTGGAGGGAGCAGTGTGTGTGCAGTTTCTTGTCAGTCTCACCCTTACTTGCAGAAGCTTCTGGAGCTCTTGCTTCATAATCATAACACCTGCATTCTGTGATTCCCGGGAGTTTTACCCAATGTTTTTTCCAGGGTTGGACACACTGGCATTATAATTCCCGCTTTCATGTTAAAGATACTGAGGCTTTGAGTAGTCAAGTCACCCGCCCAGATCACACATTCTGGAAGTTGTGTGTGGTTGTTCAAGCAGCTTGTGTATGTGAGGAAACATTGATAGATCCTAGACATCTCGTTTCAGGGAGCAATTGGCAGCTCATGGGACAACCAGCTGAAAATAATGAGAAGTCTCTTAAAATCAATGGCATTTTGAAAAGGACAGTGGATCAGCAGGAAGAAGTCGTAGCTGTAGATTAAACTGTAAGTCATCATCATAAATACAACTTGTTTCATCAGAACTGTAATAAGGTTCTTCTAGGCAGAGTGCACTAAAATGCTGCTGAGGAACATGCTGGTTTTGCTGTCAGAAATTGAGTAATGTAGCGTTAGTGCTTCAGCTATTGACAAAGGAACAAATTTCTATGGAAATTACTTTTAATATTGAGTCACTGCAACTTAATGGCCACATTTTTTAAAAGATTGGCTAAATCAAAGGACATTAATGCTAACATTAGCATCATTCATATAATTAAAGATAGACCAGCAAGTAGAGTTGAAAATGAGCTTAGTCAATACAAAATACTGTTGTGCTTTGCCTTGCGTTACTGGAGATAGTTTAAATAGGACTGTGAAAGGCCCTATTTTTTGTTCATTTTCTCTTTTTCTGTATTTTGTTTGTTCATTTTTACTCTGTATTAGTCTGTTCAGGTTGCTATAAAAATTACCATAGACTTGGTGGCTTAAAAAAGAAACATTTATTTCTCAAGTGCGTCTGGAGGCTGGAAGTCCAAGCAGGGTGCCTGCCGGTATGGTCAGGTTCTAGTGAAAGTCCTCTTCTAGGTTGCAGATTGCCAACTTCTCCTCATATTCTCACATGGCACAAAGAGGGCTCTCTTTGGTGTTTTTAGGGTCTTTTTTAAATCAGGACATCAATCCCATTCATGAAAGCTCTATTCTTATGAGCCAGTTACCTCTCAAAGGCCTTACTTCCTATTACCACCACACTGGGGGTTAGGATTTCTCCTTTTTTTTCTCTCTCTCTCTCTCTTTCCTTCCTTCCCTATTTGTGGTGCTAGAGTTTGAAGTATTGAACAAGGGCCTCAAGTGATGTTAGGCAAGTGCTCTACCATTAGCTGTACCTCAAGCCCCAGGATTTCAACATATGAGTTTTGAGGGGTTGCAACATTCAGTCTAATACCATACCCTCTAAGGAGAAGACATACTTTATGTTAGTTTAAACTAATTGTTTAAATAAAATTCTAAGACAGAAAGTGTATAACATACACATACATTGAATTTCTCTCTTCCTAATGTGAGAAATGCTAAAGAACAAGATTCTGTTAGGAATAATTTGGCTTTGAAGGGCCAGTCTCTAAGAAACTTTGGTGGTACTAAGGATTGAATTTATGCTATGCAAATGCTCTACCATTGACCTACCTCCTCAACCCTTTTTATTTTATTTTTTATTTTTTCATTAGGGTCTTACCAAGTTATCTAGGCTGGCCTCAAACTTGTGATCCTCCTGCCTTGGCCTCCCGAATAGTGAGATTACAGACACATGCCACTGTGCCTGGTTTAAGAGACAGTTTTTATCTCTTGTTGAGAATTCATAGCCTAAAAGACAATGAAAGAAAGAAAATACATGCAGAGATCCTACAGCTTCATTGCATTATAGTCTTCAAAGGAGTGTACTAAATCGAACCCAAATGGTCATTGTGATAGTTAATCCCATGTCAACTTGGCTAGGCTGTGGTGCCTAGTTCTTTGATCAAGTATTGATCTACTTGTTGCTATGAAGATTATTTTGCAGATGTAATTAACATTTACTATCAATTTACTTTAAGTAGATTGCTGTAGATAATGTGGTTGGACCTCATCCATTCAGCTGAAGGTCTTAAGGGTTAAAAACAGGTTTTGAAAAGGATTTTATCTAAAGACTGTAACCCAGAAATCCTGCCTCAGCTTCCAGCTTGCCAGCCTGTCCTGCAGGTTTCAGACTGACTGATACCTGTCACCCCCGATGGGTAAGGCAACTGTGTATGGAACCAGAGCATGCACTGTTTCCACGGGAAGCATGTGGGCAGGAGCACAGAGCCAAGTGTGGCCTAGGCACCATCAAGCCTGGTGTTGACAGTACAGGAGACCTCAGAGAAGAACAAAGATTGCTGTCCTGAGAAGAGTGACCTCACTCTATCCACGCCCCGCAATTCCTTAAGTCAGTCCCATACCTCCCCTTTAAATTCTTTGCTCTCTGCCTGCTCTATGGTGAGTTCCCTTTCTCCACACTCAGCCTGCCCATGCAGCCATGTGTGAGTGACTAAACTCTGCTCCCACAGTGTTGTCCAGGTGGGCTCCCTCCCCTGTGTCTCTCTCATGCATTTGGTGCCAAAAACGCAGGGTGGAGGGACCCTCCCTGGAGGGCTTTTAAGCCCTATCCTGAGCCTTTTGTCATGATGAGACCATCAGCTCCTCAGACTGCATGCTGGACAGTCCCTGCTGACTGCTTCAGATTGAGGCCGTGCTTCTAATGCCACCAGAACAGTCACCAGGCTAGAGAATGCCTGCAGCCCAGGATTCTCTCCAAGCCGTGTCCTTTCTGTGGTGGGGCTCCTCACTGGAAGTCTGATTCCCCACTGCTGGTAGCCGCCCCTGCTGCTTGTGGGCCACAACCCCAGAGACCCCCAACGAGGGCTCCTTCCCAGACTTTCTTGGCCTGCCCACCAAAGACCAAAGCTTCCCTGAGGCCTCAGGCACCCCCTAGACCATTTCAGATGCCATACTCTGCATAACTCTTATGGTAGAGGGTAAGTCCTTCCCTTTCTTAGTCAATACAAGGGCCACTTATTCCACCCTTCCTTCTTTCCAAGGACAAGTATCTCCTACCCCTACTACTGTTGTGGACATTGACAGCAGAGTCTGTAGAACTTTAAATCCCCCTCCTCCCCATCTGTTATCAGTTGGGACACTGTCTTTTCCCACACTTACTCTTAGTCATCCCTGCTTACCTCATTCCCCTTTCCGGGCAAGACACCTTAACTAAGTTGTCAGCCACTCTCGACTATCCCCAGAACACAACCAGTATTTTAGCCACCTGGTTTCCCCTTCCCTGCTCCCCTCTGTGGCTCCCATCATCTCTCCTTACCTCAACTCCACAGTCTGGGTTACCTCCTCCCACCCCTGACTTCATTCCAACAGCCCCTTACTGTCCCTGTCAAACCAAACCACCCTCCCCTGCCCAATGACGGTATCCCACCCCTGACCCAGCTTGATGGGGACTATATCCTATTATTTCTCACCTCTTTCTCCCCCCATTAATTTTATTGGTACATTTAAAGCAAATAGTACAGTTACATTTATCACTGGGATCTTGTACCTTTACTTGATGTCTTGGTTCTTGTTTTTTCCCTGTACCCCTGCCCTTCCTTTACTCCCTCCACCCTCCTCTATTTACAAAGACTTTGTTTCCATTTTTTTCCTTTTTTTCACACTTTTTATTTTCCCTTATTTCCTTTCCCCTTCCCTTCCCACTTCCCCTTTAGCCATTTTCTTCCTATTTCACACTATCAATTATACCATTCAAACCTTTTTTTAGTTTTTAGTTTTTCACTTCAGAGAAACTACTCAAGTGTGTCCTGTGTATTTCACTTAAGAGTATAGCCTCAATGTGCATCCATTTCGCTATAAATGTTTCTAGTTTCTCATTCTTTATGGCTGAGTAGTACTCCATTTTAAAGAAAAACCACATCTTCTTTCTCCAGTCTCCAGTTGTAAACATGGGTGCACCAAAAAAAAGGATCAAATGTCAAGCTGTTTGGGCAGGGGATTTAGCTCAGTGGTGCCACTGCCTGCCTCACAAGTGGAAGGTCCTGAGTTCGATCACCAGTATAAAAAAAAAATCAAACATGGGTGCACATATATCACTGTGGTATGATTCTTTAAATTCTTTTGGAAAGATATCCAGCAGAGGGATAGCTGGGTCAAATGGAGCCTCTAATCCTAATTGTTTGAGACATCTCCATTATTTATTTACACAGTGGTTGCACCAGTCTGCACTCCCACCAACAATGGGGAAGGGTTCCTTTCTCCCCACAGCCCTGCCAACATTTATTATTGGTTGATTTCTTGATAGCAGCCATTCTTTGTGGGGTGAGGTGGGATCTCAGTGTTGTTTTCATTTGCACCTCTCGAATGACCAGTGATGTTGAACGTTTTTTCATATATTAATTTGCTGCTTTTACCTCTTTGAGAAATGTCTGTTCATTTCAGATGCCCATTTTTGAATCTGGTCTTTGTATTTGGGGGGGGTCTGATTTTTTTTTGAGTTCTTTATGTATTCTTGACAATAGTCCTTTGTCTGAGGAGTAGCTGGTAAAATTTTTTTCCCACATTGTACGCTGTCTCTTAGCTCTATTGGTGATTTCTCTTACACCACAAAAACTTATTAATACAATAAGATCCCAGTTGTTAATTCTTTTTATTTTATTTTTATTTTTTTCCGGTACCACGGATCAAACTCTAGTCCTTGCACTTGTGAGGCAGACGCCAGAACCACTGAGGTAAATCCCAGCCCTCCAGTTGTTCATTCTTTGTGCAAATTCTTATGCTGCAGAGGATTTGTTCATAAAGTCTTCTATGCCAATGTCTTTGAGAGTTCTACCTAATTTACTTTAGTGTTTCTGTTTTGATATTTAGACCTTTAGTCCACTTGGATTTTAGTTTAGTGCATGGTGAAGGATAGGGATCTAGTTTCAATCTTTGGCAAGTCGAAAGCCAGTTTTTCCAACACAATATATTAAAGAGGCTATCTTTCCTCCTTTGAGCATGGTTGGCTCCTTTGTCAAAGTTAAGGTAGCTGAGTATGTCTGTTGTTGTTTCTGCATCTTCTAATCTATGCCATTGATCCTGGGGTCTGTTTCTTTGGGAGTACCATGCTGTTTTTATCACCGTGGCTTTGTAATATAGTTTCAAGTTTGGAATTGTGATACCCGCTGCCATGTCTCTGTTGCCTAGAATGGCTTTTGCTATTCTAGGTCTCTTCTGGTACCAAATGAAATTTTGGATTATTCTCTCTAGTTCTGTGAAATATACTGTTGGAATTTCAATTGGGATTGCATTGAATTTGTATAGAAGTTTTGGAAGTATGGCCATTTTCACCACATTGATTCTTCCTACCCAGGAGCAAGGGATATCTTTCTAGTTTATCTCCTCTTCTATTTCTTTTTTCAGAGTGCTTTAATTTTCAGTGTAGAGGTCTTTTGTCT